GATTTTGCTCTTTTCAAGAGCGTGCCCTTTTTGAACTTCAATAAAACGGTCCCGAGCTTTCGTTTATCTACTGTTTATATTTTACACAAAGTATTACTTTTTATGGTTTAAAATGGAAAATATATATGTTAATTCTCCAAGTTATATTCACAAAGAACCTAAACTTGCTGATGCAGCAGTCCTGATCATGTTTTAAGTCGTTGAAAGGGTTTTTTTTTAAATTTGTACTACTCGCGTTAATTACAGATTATGCCTTATTTATTTATTTATTAATAGCCAATCACACATCTTTACAGAATATGAATTCTAACATGGTAGTGAGTTACAATTAAAATTTAAATATATCTTTTAGATCATATACACATCATATACATATTACACATATAAGTTATTGTCCTTACGACATCGCTCACCGTGCAATTAAAAATGTCTATTTTACAATTTACACTGTTAAGAATGTCAAATAATGCAAGCAGTCGCGCTAGACTTTCTAGGCACATGCTTATCTAGAACGTTATTCACAATATCATATAACACTGCGAGGGCGTTCTCCGGGTTCCGCATATTATAAACGCCACTCCAATCGACGAGACTCAGTGAGTGATATAATTAACCAAAATCTGCTTTATAAAAATTCCGAGATAATTCACTCTTACCTGCAGTAGCACGTCTACTGTTCCAGTTACGCAAAGGGTCTGGTAAACGGGTAGTGCAGCTCAACCATGAGTGGCGGGTGATACGGGTCCAACGGCACCAGGGGCTCGTCCGCCTCCTTCACTTACACTATCCCACTAGTATGCCGAGCACAACACTAGATCTAGTTGCCTACCATTACAATTCGGAATCTTATTAACTTTAGCGAAATCACTATAAGTTTTAAAACATTCCAAATAATTTCTAACAACTTCACTTTTTCGTATTTTAAACACAATCGTTGCAATAAACTTAAGCATAACATAATAATATATTCGTTGTCACTGATTTTAGGAGGTAGATATACTACGCAACAAAAAAACCTTGGTCGCGGGGCGACACGGCTGCTGCAAAACATCGGAAACGTCGGGCCGAAGTGAATAACCATTTTCAAATAAGTTTAACTAATATATCGCGTTTTAAACCGTTAAAGTGTTTTATTTAAATGTTCAACTTAGTTCGAAGACCCCTGGCATTCTTATAATTGATTTGCTTTTTGATTTACTAAACCAATATTAGTATCATAACATCTTATTAAAATGTGCTGTCGATGATTTGAAAATCAACTAGAACCAAAACGAGGATTTACGGCTTTTTCTAATGTGGACGCGGTTCGAGTCGAGTCGATTGTGAGATTCAATCTACAAATTATTTGGTCGTAATGGAAATCGTTCTATGAGCCGTCGGTAATAAGGCTTTACATTACAGGAGTGTTAAACAATCTAAATATTTCAATGAAACAATCTAATTATTAATATACAAAACAGTTAATTTAGAATTTCATATTGTATTTATTCTCTGCTTGTTGGTCTTATCCCAAATATAAAATGAGAATTCGTCTACTCATATTAAAATCAGCAAATACATCAGTTCTTGAAGACAGCACCCATCTCAGCGTTGGCGGGTGATTTTGTCTTATCAAGCCTTAACACTCGCTTTCCACCCATTGCCTTTATGTGGAATATCCCTTTATTTTTGCTATCTGAAACGATTTTATAACACATTAATATACAGTGTTTGAAAGAAATAATCATAATAATTTTTAATATTCGAAGTCCATTAGTGATCGGCCTAGTTATTAGTTTTGCTAGTAAGATCGAAGAAGGAAAGAAGAAGAAAGAAATAGTTATTTTAGTTGTCACAAAAATTTTAAGAAAACTAAAGGTACATTTTAAAGATAAATTAATAAAATTAAAATTTTATTGCATCTCGAGATTCAGATCTACCTGGATGCTGAACAAACTAAGTTAATAGTACAGCGTTGTTTTTCAGTTTTGAATTCAAAGTAATATACAAACTAATCCTGAAGCCGACTATAACTCATGCTAAGGGTGGAAGTGCAGCTTGGGGGCCCTCGTAAAGCATTACGCAGTAAACTAGATAAAAGAAAGAAACAAACAATAAGACAAAAAAATAAAAAAGTGCCAAACACATTTGGATAACAAAATAGTTTTATTTTTAAATTAAGACTATTGACTCGTGACCAGCAAGGACAGTGTATTTGAGTATAATATAATAAATAGACCGATTGGAGTAATGTGCGACTAAGTTTTATGAACGCCTTGAAACAAGCGAATCTATACAAACTAAAGCCATCGTAAACAACATTCATAATCTCAAAGCGTGTCGCAATAAAAATCAGAAATATAATAAAGTAGAGAAAGAAGGGCGCAACTACATTTTGCGGACACTTTTCATTTCTCCGCGCTCAAATCGCAACAACTCAGCGCACAGTAGCTGCACAAAGGAATATTTGAGCTGACATCTACAAACGAGCTCGAATGAAGAAAGCAGACGCAATAAGTAAAAAGATTGCAAGAAACATCGCTCAGCTTAAAAATTTACACGCATAACGATCGCGCGCTCGCCCGTAAACGCGCTCCAGACAAAGAGACGCGCAAACAAACAGTACGTAGCTGACGAATTAAAAAGACTCGAATCCAACAAACGTAAAGGAGATTACCCACGCTCCAACTGCTCAAAGTTGTATAAACAAAAAAGCTCAATTTGTCTGCGCTAATGCGAGGCGAAATTGCGATAGAACGGGCAAAGACGGTCGGCGAATATTAAAAACGTTTAAAAAGGACAACAAAGAGTGCAAGTTATTTGAATTTTTATTGTGACAAGCGACGGTGTGAGCCCGGAAATGCTGTAGTCGAATTTGTATTGTTCGCAAATAAGCTATTCTCCTTTGAATAAGTGGACGCGAGTCGGGACGGATTTTGTGTCGACATATATTGGATAGAACGTAGGAATGTCAGTGAATAATTCTTATGTTCTATTTCGGTTTAAATAAAACACTTTAACGGTTTAAAACGCGATATATTAGTTAAACTTATTTGAAAATGATTTTTAACTTCGGCCCGACTGTTCGGATGCTTTGCAGCCGCCGTTGTCACGGGGAGACTAATATATCGCGTTTCGAACTGTTAATTTAGTGTTTTATTTAAATATGTACTACTAGCGTAAACTATATTATATACTACAGTATTCTATTTCGGTTTACAACTTTGGACCACAAGATTATGTCGACAAACATGGACTTTACTTAGTAATGTGAAAGCCAAATAACATTTAATTAAGATGCTCTATAGGCCTTTTTTGTCCTTGGACACTCGGCAGCCCCTTCGATAAATGTGGAAAAATGGATTTTACTCGTCGTCTTCGCGACTTTACCCCTGTAGTTCGTGATTTAAACAAAATTTCGATACAATAGCATTATTCTAATTTTTTTTTTTATACAATAATCTAGAAATAGTTGGATCGTACAACTGTGAATTTTAAAGAATACTCTCTAATCTAATCTAGCGGTAATTTTAAAAAAACAGTAGCGTCATTGTTCATAAAACTTTATTAAATAGCTACTTAGTATTATATTCGTTGAATTACAAAAAACCCGAGAACATTTCGCTGCAGTACAGCGGGTTACGTATTTTTGTATTAACTCCCCCTTCGCTGATTACACACAAATTGATATAAATTGAATTTTAGAGTTAACCGCCTTCCGAGCGTCGGCTCGCTCGCGGGCCCCACAGACTACAAGATGTTCCGGAAAACGGAGAAAAGGGTTATTTGTTACGCGTAGGGTTGTCAAATAAAGTAATTTTAATCGCCAAAAAGATCAAACGCAAGTCGCAAGTCCACATTTTTATAACCAATTAAAAAAATCTCTGAAACACGTTGCACTTCATCTTGAAATCTGGATATTAATGGTATGGTTGTAATATTGAAATTTTACCCGGGTCACGAACCATCGTGTACAGATATAAAAAATAAGATATATTAGTTTATTCAATAGTTGTATATTTTTTATAAATATGATATGATAATTAAGAGATGTGGCGGCCCTGCGAGCGTAATAGGAGTGATGATTTCTTGGCTTTAAGCGGCCGTTTCATAACAACCGGCTCTACCCTCGTCACTTTGAGTTGAATTTGTTTATACTAAACTTAGTAAATTTTATTTAGTGCCTCTTTTTACTGTGCGCAAGTTTCTAAATTATAAGGAAATCGTACCAAAATACATTACAAAGTACGTTGATAAGAAACAAACTTGAGATTTTTTAATTCTTTATTTAATAGCGACTAATACGCATAGATTACCCTATATTACCAATAAATAAGTTTATAAATTAAGGTTAAGAAAAATATATCAAAAGAAATAAAAAATGTAAATAACTGTAAATTTATCAAATAAGAATTATAAAATTTAGTAACCGTTTGGAGGTAGTTTACTATTTGATTTGATTTAAAGTATACTGTTTCGGTAAACTTCAATTGAATGCAAAAAAGGACAGCTATTAATTGAGAAGTTAGAACTAAAATAACTAATTGGAGACGACGCAGTAGCAAATATACTTAATAATTACGAGGGGAGTAGACATTAAATAAAACAGTGTTATGGGTAAAAAAACAAAATCATTCCTCTTCAACGATGTGATCTCAAATTTAACCTAATATTCGCCCATATAAAATCTTTATACGACCAATATTCAAACAATAAACGTACACGAACTAATAGCCAGAGCTTAAGCGGAAGTTAAAAGCTGTCCTGGTGTAAATTACTGGGCCATAGTTCCAGCGTCGTCAGACCGCGATTCTATTGCATTACAGCGGGAAGCCAGCCTTTATTGCTCAATTTGACTTTATTTAACGCAATTCGCAGGCGGAGGGTGGCAACCCCACCTGACGGCGAACAGATGAGGTCCCACTCCAATCCACTTAGCACGCGGCAAACCGGCAAGTAGGTGATCGCAATCTAACCACTAAAACTAGAAATGCTTTGAGCATTCCCCGCGTGACACCGTAATGGTTGTTTCCACTGAACTCATCACTTTATTGACGGCTCTCGACTCCTATGTAGCTATAGGTGGGTCTTTTAGGGACTTTTACGTGGATATAGTTAGGTCTTTTGGGGACTTCTACGCCTAGCTTGTTTTAACTAGACATAAATTATAAATTACTTCTTGATTTAGACGAGCTAAGAATAGTTTTCGGAGATCACCACGACAAGGGAAGGTTTGAGATTACACGCACCTGCATACAAAGTTCGCAGCGAAACTTCCCCTAAATTTAATTAGGCGCGCCAAGCTTACACGCTCATCGCGTTTATTTTGGAACTTCGCGTCTTACACTATTAAGTTATTACGTATCCTGTTCTATTGTTAATGTTAGAGAATTTAGCTATAAATATCTCCTGAGACGGATTAGCTAAGTTTAGAAGTCTGTTTGTACTGATCAAGTTACGATAATCCGTGGATTTATACACATTAATGTGTGTTTGGTAGTCTGTAGATTTCCGTACTTACTATTTATTGTCTAAATTTTTTATGCGGCTATATTATAATGTTTATTTAGAAGCAATAAAACGACAATGTCTGCCACGTAATGCGTAAAATTTTGTGAAAATAACCCCTAAATTCGCTTAATATTTCCGGTTTTATAATACTAAGTAGGTTTTTTATAGTATTAAATGTTTCGCATGGTGGTAGGTAAAATACTCCAGTCATATAATATCTAAACAAGACGAGTTGTCAACCCATTTTGCCTTTGTATAATCGGAAATCCACAGACTGTAAACGACACACGATGTTTTGTTCAACTGTGGACGATGGAACGAACAGAATTGCGTTAAGAATTCCCCCTCATTATATATCCAAAATTCTAGACAAACTGCTACATGTTACAGAAAAAATATAAATAGATTTTAAACATGTTAGACCCGGTGGAGATGAAATCCACGACGAAGTTATTACGATATTGTGTATTGTTCTGAGGAAAAACTCAATCAATATTTGTATATTCAGACTTATCTCGCGCTTTATTCATTACAAGCAGTATTCGATTACCCGGATCTGTTTAAGGCGAGATTCTTTTTCGCCAAATGTAAAGCCGAGACGCGGGCTTGAAGGGGCTAAAATTAAAATCATATCTCGGCAGTCGAGTCACGCGAAACATTAACTTCGCCTCACCAATAAACCGCGCCCTTAAGAGCTTCGTTCCGAATTAAAATTTGCCGGCTGATCTCTCAGGAGTGACGGCTGACGGATTACGAATTTTGCTATTTTGTGTTGTTTAATTTCATCAGATCACGACGCTCCCCCGAATTACTCGATGTCATTTTTCGTCAAATAATAAAACTCATTTAAACGCCATCAAGTGTTGACGTTGATCTTGAATGTTTGACTCGGAATCTTCATGTTATCAACCAAATTAAATTAGGCTCTATGAGTAATTAATGTTGACTTTTCAAAACTTTTGCTTTAACTTCGATATCCCACGTTTGCTTTACGAATGTGGTAAGTCTGAAAGAGACATTAAATTTATTACATATTACGTTACACATATTCATTATCTATCGACGCTAAATCAACTAAGTTTATTCAAATAAATAAACAGTTAAAAACAAGTTAACTGACATGCTAGTTTATTCAATAGATACATACCATCCATACTTCCTTAGCTATGAAAATAAAATAAAAGTAATTTTGTTAAACTTATGTTTTGTGTCTTGTTATTATTATGATGTTAAATTTTGTCTGGAAACATGGTTACATTGTGCTAGGAATAGTAATTCCGCCCGAGTCAATAACCACCGTCTACAGATTAAAAATTCGCCAAGGTCAATCGCGTTTTGATTACAGTCTGTGGATTTCGATACATATTGCAAAGGTAGCATATTTCACTTACCATCGAGTAAACCACCATCCTCTATTATAAAAAAAACTGTTATTTATACAACGCTAAATTCCTTAAGATAAAATTTACCAGCAGATACTCATATTCCTTTCGTATATTAAAACCTTTTCAAAACTCTGTTATAAACCGAACTCAATGTAGAGTATGACCTCTTAGGAGCGCATTTTTAAAATTCATTTGTATTTAAGTCTGCCCACTTTGTATTCACGACGCACGAGCAGGACGCCTATATTTTATATTTATCGCTAACGTTGACGACGTCGAATTGCATTGCCTTTAATATGCATCCTGCATGTTGGCGCGAATGGAATGGTGGATTATGGCTAATGGTATTGGCGGTTAAACGCATGCATGGGCTCTTATTCAATTGAGCTTCTTGTAAACTCGATAGCACATGTAGACTGAACATTGGTTAAAAGTAGCGATAGTTTGTCTCTCTTTCACCAAAGTGCCAAAAATAAATTCGTATTTGATTTCAAATAAAATATTTTCAATTGATTCCGTAAAAGCAAGGTGCGAAGCGTTCCTAGTCATATAATTTTGTACACAACTAACGTACTAATCTACAAGCAATGTAGTAATATTATATTGTCTGCAGTTTATGGCAGTAGTAGGTACACATTAAAAAAACGCTTTAAACGGTTTAAAACTCGAACTTAACTTAGTAATTATGTAACGTGAATTTTATAATATCATGTGGGTATTAGTCATTCGATATATATGAAACGAGATTTTCCATTCCCTTCCCACTATTATTATAAGAGAGGAAACAGGAAATTAATTATATTTTTATTACATTCCTGTAAAAGCATCGATGATAATTGGATTCACGTATAACATTTTATCTCCCAATAATTTCCTTATGAAATTCTTAGCGATACATCTTAACGAGGAGCGATGAAATCAATCTGGCCATAATGAGATAAGCAAACAATGACCCTCATAATATCGATAGTCATGTTGGCACAAGAAATTTGCCCGAGCAATATCGGGGTTGCCCGTCGAGGGAATCGCCAATTTTAGGGTAAATCGAGGGAGATAATTATGTTTGAAGTTAGTTATTCGCGGATATGCGATCGAGTGGATAACGTTCATATTTGGACCGATTTGTATATTGAACTATTAAAAGGATATAATCGATGTTCGATACGAAAATTATTCTAATTATGTAAGAAGAAGAGAAGAGTTCTTTAAGAAGCGTTTGTTTTTTGTGATACGTCTAGTATATATAGTACATATAGTGATCTAAAATTTTGAGAGCCTCACACATTTATATATGTCTGTTTCTCTAATCAAGATCAACAAATAAAATTGTAATTACACAGTTAACTATCCAGGCTCATGAGCGTATGATAGCAATATACCTATCGCTAAAAATCAATTTTAAATTGCCATCGTGGATTCTAATCTTATCGGGTACAACGTTGTTCTAATCAATTTAAAATAAAGAAATATGTTAAAATTGGTGATTTAAGGGGTGGTGGGAGTTCGAAATTCCGTACGGATCACGGGCCACCATCCACACATAAAGAAGCCGTCAAGAGTGGATTTCCGAATGTCTACAGCCACAATAGGTCGACAGGGCGTCCTGTTGAGATATTGTATGGCTGTGGTATTTGACCTACCATCAAGTTAACATGCTTAACTGTCCTCCTCTAACATTAAAAAAGTGAACATTTGTGCTCTACGATTTCTATACTATCCCTGAAATTTGAACCTGTACTTGTAATGCGTATAACCATTGGGAGGCGGTACATACAAAATAAAAATAGATGTCACTTATCTCAAAGGGATTACTTAATCACTTAGGCATGAGCGAATTAATGATTTTCACGCGACACGAGGTAAACCGATGTCGCACCGAGTTAAATTTGTTGATGGGTAAATGAGGGCGTTCCCTCGGGTGATTCTAAGAAAATCAACACTAGTGTAATTAACGCACTCATTTATGGTTGTCGCGGGATTATTTCGGGCGAACCTTCTACCCCTTTGATGTTTGCGTGACAGCCGACAGATGAGTTGAGTTTTCAGCTCCGTAGAACATGTCGGCGACTAATTTAAATCGAGTTTGTTCGATTAATGATCCGTGGAAACTGTCTCGTCGTTGTCTCTTGAATCAAAATTATTCTGTTTTGCTCCATCCATTACTAGCTGTGTTAGTGACTTTGCGTAGAATCACTTTGGGCATCAGCTGTTACCCACTGCTTCGTCCGCGTTCTGTCGTTCTTGCAAGTTAATCTTAGACGACTAGACATATTATGTACTGTCATGGACCTTCAAGGGGAATCATTATTATCATACATATATTGTAGGTATCATAGGTTTTTTTTCACATTTCCAATTTTTACTAATATATAGAAACTGGAAGTATAATATCTTGGTAACGGGTTACGTAACAAAGCCTTTCCGAGAAGTTATTACTTCAAAAGTATATATCTATCAACTTAATCATTGGCATGTATTTTAAAACAGCCTTGTTTTGATTTGTAAATATAAAATGTTATTTTTTTAAGTCCTTTACGATATTTATATAATATTCAATAAATTCAATATGCATAGGCTACACTAACAAACTAAATCTCAAATATGCTCATATGAAGGTGCTCCTCAATCACTAGTTTGGGGGGGGGGGGGGGGCGCAAAGTCGCGAAGTTTTATATCGTATTACTAATGATTTATTTACATTATATTCTTAGTAATTAGTACTTGTGAATTGTGATAATGTGTATTGTTATCTGTTATAAATAAATTAGTTTTATCTACAAATAATTTCCGCTTCTCTACAGAGAAAATATTGGTATAGAACTTTCGAACTTGTCATAAGTTCTATGTACAAAACCACGGAAGGGAAATTAATATCTCTAAGGAGAGTATTGTTGGTAAAATCCGGAAAAGGCTGCAGGTGCTTCGACCGGCGCACGACAGCTAATTAAAATGCTAATCAACCGCGAGACGCTGCTGCATTTGCTGCACTGCTTAACCCACGCAAAAATAATAGTCTCAAATAGATGATGCTAGCAAGATTAAGCTCACATTAATAGCTTGTCTGCATTTTACGAGACAAGTAAACATTTAAAAAATCGTGTACGATTCAAAACGTGAAATATATTAGCTTGTTTATGTAATTTACAATACAATGGGTGGCAGTTTAAAATAAATTAACATATAAATCGTATTTTAAACCGTTTAAAGTGATTTATATTATCGTTTTGTTTAAATCCGGATGGAAGGACTAACGTATAAAAATTGTCTAAATGTAAAAAAAAAGGATTGTTTTTAACATAAAGTTTGTACATCTAAAGAAAAAAAAAAAAATATAATTGTACTGTCTATAAATGTTCAGAAAAGTCATTGATGCTAAAAAGTAGTAAATATTATTATATAAATTTAAATAAACACCTTAAATACGCGCTTTACAGCAGCTGTGATTGCGAGAAAAATAACCGAAAACGTTGAAGACTCGTAAAGTACGCGTTTCAAACCGTCTGACATGTTTTATACCTACTTAAACTACGAAATATATCTAATAGCTTAATTTCCTTTTACCTTACAAAACAGTATTCGTTATTCATCATAAATATTAGACACGTCCCTCGTTACATGAAAGTTACCCATTAGTTCTACCTCGTTCAAAGGAGTCTCTTGTTCAATATCCAGATTGGCAGTTCGATTATCCTTGGATCCTGTAAAAAGGCATATAAAAATTAGTCTGTAATGTCGTAGACTGCTTAAGCGATCCGTGGGGAGGCGGGGCGGCTGAGAAAATTAAAATGTCTGAAATACGGCGGTGCTTAGCGCTAAGAAAAATTATCGTTTATTCCTAACATAATTAATATTTCATCTGTAAGTTTTGATGATATCGCTGTAGATAAGTACTAAGATAAATCCTATTTTGCTAGGTTTAAATTTGAATCCTCTTTTTTTGATAGACGACAGACAAGCTTGGGGATCTTTCGATGGTAGATGTAATACCACAGCTGTGTAACATCTAAACAAGATATGCTGTCCATCTATTTTAGCTTTAAATATTCGTTTGTATATATGTATTTATTTATTTAAATTAAATTATGGGTAAATGTATGGGTTTGGAGATGTATTTCCGTTATTTTGAAAAGAATTCTCTATAGTATACGTTTAAATAAAACACTTTAACGGTTTAAAACGCGAAATATATTAGTTAAACTTAGTTCTATAATTATTTTTAACAACTACCCGACGTTTCGATTAATACGCGTTTTACACCGTTCAACGTGTTTTATAAAAAAGTATTATCGCTCTTGAAGAAACTTTATCTTTGGATGTCTAGACATTGTTCAGGTGGTAAGAATAGGTATTCGTTTGCTTAATAGCATGCGGATTTGAGAAACCACAATTATGATTTATGTAACAGACAGAGGGATTGTCCCTGGGAACAACATTTACGTCCTCTTTATTATTTTTAAGTCTCCCCGAGTGTTCCCCCGTTTCAAACTTTCACCTTTTCCCCCATTTGTGGGACAGAAGTTAATTTCTTTCAGTGGAGTCTTTGAAATTAATTTTGCCTTGCGACCGCACGCCTCGGGACGAATACTTCGCGGTCGTACGACAAAGATTTAAGTTATTATTACAAACAAAGGCACTTTTATTTTTTATGATAGAGGGAAACAGACAAGCATACAGTTCACTTGATGGTAGATAATAGCCCAGCCATGTTACATCAAAACAAAATGCGCTGTCGACCTTTTGCTTTTGATATTCGGAAATCCACTGACTCAACAGACTGTGCTGTGCAGTTGCAGTTAATATCCAGACTTATTTAAATAAACACTTTAACGGTTTCGTCGGGCCGAAGTTAAAAATCATTGTCAAATAAGTTTAACTAATGTATCGCGTTTTAAACCGTTCAAGTGTTTTATTTAAATGTGTACTACTCGCGTAAACTATAGACAGTATTTAATATCCAGACTTCCAAATGAAGTCCAAAATATTTTGAATTTATTAGAAAAATATTAGACCCGGTGCGGATCAAACCCACGGCCATTATTAGCCATATATTATCAAAATTTATTCATTTAATATTCGATTTTATTTAAATACAAATACGATTGTAAATACAATACACACTTTATGCGCAATTGGTAAAAGGTAATTTTTCATCTTGCTCGTTAAAAATTGTAACTGTAGACATAACATGTGCAGTGCACTGTTACGCGGTAAATGTACGATATATTTTATTTTTATTGCCGAAGCCTCGCTGTTCGGATTTATTCATTTACCAGGAATGAACTTCTGGTCGATTGTAATAAACTTTATATTATTTCACAAATATTTATTAACATGGTGCTACAAAATTGGTTTAAGCACGAAAAGTTCGAATCCTGGACAATTGACGACTTGATTATTTTCTACATGTTATTGCACATGAAGGCACTATATAATTAAAAAATCGAAAATAAATTGAAAAATTTTTCGACTCGCAACAGCACGGAACGCTGACGATGCTACTTCAAGTCCTGCCTGAGTTGAAATTTTTTTAAATTTATTTTCAATTTTAAATTATCCTGGACAATGTAATATTTTCGATAGGGCGGGCACAAAATTCATATTCACTAAATACTGTCTGTAGTTTACGCGAGTAGTACACATTTAAATAAAACATTTTAACGGTTTTAAACGCGATATATATTAATTTAACTTATTTAAAAATTCGGACGCTTTAAACCATCGCGTTTTAAACCGTTAAAGTGTTTTATTTAAATTCCTATTCACTACTTATATTAATACAATTGAACACAGCAATGTATTCGCACATTCCCCATAGGAGGAATATTCATTTAATGTTGAAGTGATATGTGAGAAAATAAATACCGAATTTCCGTACGCGTTACTAACCACTGGCCTCATTTTTCCGGGCGTTTAAATTCGAGTTTAAGTTTTATTTAAGTTATGGTACCAGTAATTCTCTGCTTATTATCACGTTATATATTTAGTTCAAGTGAATTCTAAGCTTACATGATAGACAGTGCCCTGAAGTAGCTTAATCTTCGCAGGTTGCTCGTTTGACATAAGAGGGTGCGACTTCAAAGCCGGCGGTGCCATCAAAGACGAGAAAGATAAACCGCTGGATAAATCCTTTTCGGTAAGCGTTTGATATCCGATTGTTAGAAATCGAGCTTTACAAAGAGAGAAAAGATGACAAATTTTCACTGTATTTGTTAATCAGCCCAAACGTATCTGTAAGTATAAACATTTTTCAATTGTTTTTTATGTCACGGGCTGGACTCAAACCCACGAGCAATGTACGATAGAGCTAACGTGTATCCGCCGAGTTTTCTCAATCTTTTATTAATTTCTGGTGCATATTTGTGTTTAAATAAAATATTTTGTCTCTTTCTTTCGAATGATTTCAGTGCCAGTAGAGTGCGCTTGATTAACTTTCTTTAATTTTATTAAGTATAACTGCCATCTCTTTGCGTGTAATTAAAATCGGTTCTAGGTTCAAATCCCGGAAAATTAACATTGTGTCGCGGAAGACTCAGAAGCTTATGTTTATTAACGGTTTTAAAAGTGAAATATGCTGAAACTTGTTCACAAATTATTTATAAAGACGATCCGACGTTCGGATACAGTTGCTGCAGAGTTTCATAAATAACTTTGTAAACAAGTTTAAATTATATATTTCGTGTTTCTTACCGTTAAGTGTTTTATTCAAATGTGTACTCCGTAAACTATAGACTGTTTTTGATATAGTCTTGACGGACACAAACGTGTACTTGGGCAAAGGCATTTTATTAAATGTACCTCAATTTACTGTAGCTATGTAGAAGTGTAGTCCGCAACTGGCTTTTGCGTTCCGTTTCAGCCCATTTGATTCAGTTATACTCAATCTATCAGTGCAACTCACATAATCCCATGACAGATTAAAGCGAAACCTGGACAGGAACGAACCGAACAGCAAAGCTCGCTAAAACACCGTAGACTTACCGTTTAATCTCGACAATCATCCGTGTTTCATTCGCAGTTAAATCCGGGCGCAATACTACGCCCGGATATGTCCCGGATGCCGGATTACCCGGACGGATGTGCCGATGGGATCGTTCGTGACGCGGCACCCGGTTCGGCGATTAGTTCTGTCCTCGTTGCGTCGATCGCACCGGTCACGCCCCGGGATGGTTAACAGATAAGTATACAGACAAATATTTGTCTGTGCCCGATGTTTATGGTGTAATGGGTCAGTTTATTTAATTGCATATGAACGTTCAATTTTAAAGCTATTATATTATATTAAAGAAATCTATAATACAGGCGAATGGCACACGCCACGGGTCTGAATCTCGCCTGTGTTGTAGTTTTTTTTTGCAATCTTTCTTTAAATGTACATTTCTTTACATGTTTTCACTTTCCTTTACTGTAATTTTGTTTTTCTACATGCAAAGGTTGCTTGGAAGAAATAGCCATTTTTATTTTGTCTTTATTTATTTTAAGTGTCTGTGTTCTGCATATTGTTTGTGCATTGAAAAGTTTTAGTACTATTAAATACTATATTACGGTTTTCCAGGCTGTTCGGCCGAAATAATTCGACGAGCAATCGAGGCGCTAACATCTGATGATGCCGTCCCCACGTGATGGCGAAACGTCGAAAACCTCTTTTCGCTCATGTGGCCGAACAGCCCGAAAAACAATGATATGCTGAACGATGGCCGTGAAAGTCCTTACTATTAAATCCTAATTTAATTTAAATGAAGCACAATGTTTAATTATTCTAATTAGTTATAACAAAACCACATTTCATTGTTTATATATAACACAATGCTTAATGTGTCTAAACTATATTAAAATTCAGCAGATATGTTGAAATTAATTCTATTTTAAATATGGTTGTAATTTAGGACGATGTTCGTGTATAACTTTGGACAAACATTTTATGTATAAAATTCGTGATGTAACTTAGATAAGTATGGTTTTTCGACAGTAATTATTTAGTATTTTAGTATGTAGTACATCATTAAGAAGAACTGAACGGAGTCTAGTGTTGAAGGAAGACAGACTTGGAGGTCACGCGTATTCTTGGGGAATTAACACACATTACGAGATGTTATTGCTTGAGAATACACGTAGCTGACAAGGAAATAATCAACGATCTTACACTAGACTTCCCATCGACCAAGAAGATTACAATCGGTGTTACGTTAAGCGTTACGGAGGTAGTCCGACTCTTGCGCATACGTCAGCAGTCCTTTTATGAATTGTTTAAATACGTATAAATATTATAAAGAAATAATTTTAGCGTCATTGTTTTCTTTCTGTTTATTAATATTTTTATTGTGTTTTACAGGTACTTGTCATCCGTGAATGAAACGTCAGCTGCTAAAGAAGAACTTAGAAAGATTATAATAGTCATTTTTAAAGTCGTACTCTAATCGTCGTATATTTAAGAGAAATTGTTGAGAAATAGTTTTTTTTCATACAAACTATATAGAAAGTCGTTTAATTTTACAACATTTTTAATATATCTGAAACTACACGAAAAAAAAACTGACAATGCACACGTTTGTCGCTTTATATAATTGTAATTAATGAAAGTCTGTAGTAATCATCAGATGTTGATTGTTGATTTGTTGCGCATGAACTAATATTAAGACGGAAAAACAATGTTAAAGTCAAATATTCATTTATTAGCCAAAATTAGGCTTAGCCGACAAAATGCGCGCCAACGTTCGTATTTGACAGTTCCTTAGCTAGTGCGGGGGCGCGCGCGGTTATCACGTCGCACTAGTGTTGTGTCGTCCCCGCTAAGTCGGAGGATTATTCATATCACTACTAGGCCAATTTTCATGAAATTTTGCAAATCTAACTCTCTCAAGACATATTATATTTTAAAATAGTGATAAGTCTGTGTGTAGTGAAATCACTAAATTATGTGGTCTAGTCTTAGCATTGTAGTAATGACAAATTGTGGTGTGGTGGTAAAAACGGTGGTTTTTAAATAAATATGTGTCATGGAATGAAAATGAATTTTATTTCCTTTTCCTCAAATTACACATAAACTAAGGATAATCGTAGTACAATAATAAAAATACACCAATGAACAAAAGTATGTATTTAATGGTTGAACTAATTACAATTATAAAGAGTACGCCAATTTCCAACGTAACCCAAAAGGCATAAATGCACAGAATTCATTGAACAATAGCTTATAAGTCCCGACTTTGCATCCAATTCAATCGTTAAGACTTACTGTTCGTATGTCTTCTGTGTTACAATTCAAAAAAGATAGTGGACAAAGTAAGAAACAAATAAATATAAGCTATTTACAATCGCTGTATCGTCAGCGATGGCTTAAACTACAATCACCTTTCCGTATGAAACGATCTTATATAACCTAAATTGATCCTAAACGATACTTTCATGATGTTGAGCAATACGGGGTAAGACACAGTCTCGTTAGACGGTACGAACATTTATCGAAATCAATAAAGAAATGTAGCTTGCAATATAAGACAAAAGTAAAAACAAATAGAAAAGAAATAGCTAATCTGTCTATAAATTTCAATCGATAAATGTTGGTACACATAGAAGCTAATAAAATTATTATGGCATCCGAGACCAGGTGATTTACTGAAAATCAAAACTGTGTTTGCTGCAGGGAAAAATAAATCACTGTCTAAAGACATTGGCGTAACAAAACTTGCGTATGCGACTCCCTTTTAAAATTATCTGAAGTTGCACTAGCCTTTCCAAACTTTGTTTCGACACTATTCCATTGCATTTCGGTATTTCCACTAATTTACTCTGAATTCGAGTATAGATAGGTAATAATTACTTTAAGTAAAGTCACGAAGAGAATTTGTTACATATCTAGGGAACCGCAACGCTACAAAAAAAGTCTTAAGAAATACCTAACACAAGTTCCGTTCCATATGTCCATCTGGATCTTTTGACTGTCTTCTAAAAGTCACTTATAGACTTAATCTTAAACAATATTTACGCTAGTCAGAATCATTTATTAAGGCGTTAGAATCGTACTGTAAAAGTCTTTCGCATAATTATTGTATACCAAGCCTTACTGTTTCATTGTAATGACTGTACTTAACTTTACTTATATTTAGTAACTGTTCTATGCACCCTCTATTTATTACTCTGCATGACTTTGTATCATAAGTGAAATTAATGTTGTTAAAATACGTTTTGAAAGCAAGAAATAGTATTAAACTACTGCTAAATCAAATCGTCAGCCTCGGGCGAAGCCCTGGGAGCAAGTCTCGATGTGGCCCCCTCGGTTGGAGTTGGAGGCTCATTATCAGCGCCCGCTACTCCATATTTCCGTCGACGGTCCAGCGTCAGACTCGGTACTTCTGCGTTACCGTTCTCTTCATTTGCATTGTTGGATTCACTCGGAGAATCGTTTTTAGCACTGCGTATGGTACTTACATTATCATTGTGTATTATCTTAATATCGCTGTCAGAAGTTTTTCGCTTGATTTCTTGAATATTAATGCCTGTTTCTGAGGCGCGTGAATTCTTGATTGAATTGGTAATGTTCTCCGCGTTGGTATTGGATGCTGCGCGCTCCTCATTATCATTGCTAACTGTGTTCGTTCCTGTAGCGCTAGTTTCAGTGGTGACGTTGCGAGATGATATGACGTCACCCGTGTGAGTGGTATTAGTCTGAACGGTGGAAACTGAAGGAGTCGTTTGCGTGGTAGATTGAACGGTGTTTTGTACGGTCTGCGTCGTGGACTGAGTTGTGGGGGGAGTGGCTTGGGTACCAGTTCCCGGGGCATCATGATATGCGGTTCCACTGGCCAATGCCGCTATCCCTGCTAAGCCCATCATACCTCCCATGCCGTGGTGGCTACGCAACAAGAGTTGCTGTAGTTGAGCTTGCTGTAGTATCACTGGCAGCTCGTAGTGGTGGAAGAAGTACAACATGGAATGCTGTGAACAAAAAATTATCAGATGAATATTAATAATAAATAGCTTTTAACTATAACCTGAATCATGGCTAATTCAGATACACGACGTAAAGATGGTAATAGTCCAATACGCTATCTAGTACGCTAGCGCCATTAGTTTCTTTGTAATTAATATTTTCATAAACAATTTACAACATTTAACGTGCACCACGAGTAAACCACAGATACAACTCACTTTGTTTGCGTACAAAATCAATTTTATTCTTGACTCGTGTTAAACTGGCTTTTCTTATTCCAAGAGCTTATTTTGTTATGAGACACCAGACACGTCGCACGAAGTAAACTCCGTTAGACAAACAGATGAGGAAATCGTGACAGTGCTGGGAGTATACTCGACTTATTTATTTGTGGGTCAAAGATCTCTCCCCTAGCGAGTCCTGACGTAAGTTTTAATTAAGAAACTTGTGGCCGTACCGCGCTGACTTTTATATCAAATTATATTTTTCGAGTTCCGGTGCCGCGCGGTGTTACCTAACTGCTTGTGTCAGATCTTACGATAAAAGAACAATAAGTAATCATCAATACCTGTCATATTTAAGAATTAAATCCGACAATGTGATAAACACACTTACTCAATATATTTTTACAGTAGTAAGTAGTAAGGACATAACGGTTACAAAACAAGACATATTACGGGTGAATCATTATTATTTTCAAATGTTACTATCCATACCGTATATACTCTAAAAATAATTTAGATAGAAAGAATTTTGACGAGTTTGTTGGTGTAACGGTAGCAATGTATGGCTGAAACATGTTGGACTTCGTCTGGAAATCTGAATTATTAAATGAATGGTATAAAATATCGAAATTCCACCGTCTGTGGAATTCCGAAAATCCAATGTCAAAATAGGTCGGTAACGCATCTTGTTGTAATGTTATATAGCTTCCAGCAAGTAAAAACTCTGTGATAAATAAAATCTATATGTAGTATTTGGTTTGATATCCCGCCTGTGTCATAATTGTTTCCCGTCTGAATTTAAAATTTTACGTTGTTAAAATGACGTATACATCAGCAACACATCCGCACGGTTAATTAACGCGACCTCCGAAACCTGTTCGCTGTTTATCGACATAACAGATATAAAAAAGGATCAAACGTTTAAAAGGTATTTAATGGACAGAAATCGTGCCTTTTATGCGTCCATTAAAATCGGCCGCTTTGAGATTTACATCAACCCCTGTTAGATAGCTGAACATGAATAAAAGCGAGATTTATTTTTCAATCCCGCGATTATAATAGATTTTCCGTTGAAATTCGGGATTTAGAAAAAATATAATGCTTTTTTGTCTATTAACGATAACTCGAGACAGAGATGTATCTTAATTGAAAAATACATGATGGTTATATAGTTATTTCCTTTCTTTCTTAGATAGAAGCTGTAGACAGTCCAATCGACGTGGCGTACCTTCTTTAAATAATTTTTTATTCAAAAATGCGCGAAGAACTTTAGGGGCGGCGAGTTTATTATGACAAAAAGCGGAAGAATTCCGAAGAAAACAAAGTTATTTTGTCTTAAATGTTAAGATGAAGAGGTTTAAAAATTCGTCCGCAAGTCGAACAGGGAAATGTTTTATGAAAAACTGTATTCACTTGCTTAATCTGATAAGAAACATAAAAAGGGGGCTTTTGAAGGTTTGACTCCTATATTTGAAGAAAATCTTTATAAATAATTTTCCACTAGGAATTCATCTTCACAAATTAGGTGTACAATATTTACTCTAAGTAATGTAACTACGGTAAGCCGCTGAAAGTGTTTGTTCTAAGTTTAAGCCACAATTCGCGGTAGATCAGGAAGATACCAATTCACAACCTCCGCTTACCATCATGGCGGACCTACGGTTTACTTAGGACGTTCGCAAAATTATCTACTCCGCGGAAGTTCATATGAAAATCTTTTATTTGCAACAAGAGTTACGGCTGCCTCTGTAAAGAAACTTTTCTGTTTAAATCGCGATATATAATAAACGGCCCGACGTTTCGGATGCTTTGAAGCAGCCGTGGTCACGGGGAGCTAAAGATGGAGGATGTCTCTGTCTCTCATGTATCAATAAGTCATCATCAAATAATTTTAATATATATCTCGTTTTAAACGGTTCAAGGGGTTTAATTAGATGTGTACTATTCGCGTAAGCTTCAGACAGTATTTAAGTTTTATCTGCGACCGCAAAAATGCATTTTATCAACTTATAAATGTACGTTCTCGCTAAACGAAATGCGAAATTAACTTAGAATATTCAGGGATTCAATAAAGCTTGCCGACTTTAAAATACAGCGTGAAGTTGAGAGCAAATTTTACGATGCTCGTCGCGTCGCCGGCCCGGAGCGGGCGACCTCATGAAATATGATTTTTATTAATAAGTTGACACGCTCGATGATTATAAGATAAGCCCCCACTTTGCATTCCGTAGAGCCTTCTTGTTTTTCGACGTCTCCCCGCGCCTGCGACAGAGCTACCCGAGCTTCGGGCGCTTTGCGTTACAAAATTTACACTCAAATTATTTCAACAACATCGTTACTTATAAAAAGGAGAACTTTTTCCCTCTTCTTATCGAAAGAACGAAACCGACATTGTTTTCAATTTATGCAGCGTTTCTTACTGATATCGGATTGAATTTATATCTGTTGCAGGCTTAGGTTTAAATTATTTAATTAAACTTCAAACGCAAGTGATATGTTGAAGACAGAGAGAAAATTAAAGTTCTGATAATAATTTTACAATCGGTTCGCAGAATATCATGTGTGTTGATTACAATTATATTAGATCGTGTTTTATTCAGTATTGTAGTAAACAAGCTCCCAAATCATAGAATCTGTATAATATATTATTTTTTATTAAGTGTTGAAGTATCTCTACTAATCTATAAATCTGAAGATTTTGTTTGTATATTTGAACGCGCTAATCTCAGGTACTATGGGTTCCAAATTGAGAAATGATTTTTGTGTTGAATAGATCAAATACTGTCTATAGTTTACGCGAGTAGTACACATTTAAATAAAACACTTTAACGGTTTAAAACGCGATATATATTAGTTAAAATAAATAAATGATGACTTATTGATATATGAGAGTCTAATATATCACGTTTTAAACCGTAAAAGTGTTTTATTTAAATTGAATAGATCATTTATTAAGGATGGCTATAGGCTATAAATTGCGCTGTGATTAATAAGAGCGAAAATTGCGGGAAATGTGGAAAAAAACGGGGAAAATATTTATATTAGGGTTTCCGGTGCGTACACTGCGACAACGGTTAAAGATACCCCCAAACGTACCTATCTACGATAAAATGATTCCTCTTAAAAGTATCTAAAAATATGTCCTGATAGTATATGTCTATCTTTTAATAATAATTTGTAAGCACGACGAGACGCAGTCACCGTTGTGGATAACAGTTATGTAGATGAGAAGGAGGTTTGCAAAAATAAATTTTAGTGCCCAAAAGAACTATTTCAAATGCGGACGAAGTCGCCCGGCTCAGCAAGTGTTACACCTAACCGATTTAAAAATTGCAGTAATCTATTCTAGATGAAAATATGTACTTCGTATCAAAGTAGAATCCAGTCCGGTCTGAAGTATGGAAATGGGATTCGCAGATTAGTCGAGCATTTAGTAAAATTTCCTTTAAAGTGAATACAATATCTGTCACATGCAGTCTCCGGGTAGTCGGCAGGGGCTTTAGGGTTACGACAAAAAGGGAAGACAATTATATTCATAGATACGCTGTTTATATATTTTGTCAATACATATGTTCAATAATAGGTTATATAGATAAGTCGGTACTACTAACTTAACACTGAATCAGATAAGTACTAAATACAAATTGAAATAAAACACGATGACGACAACAATGACGAACATTTATAACGTATATACATACCTAATATATTTATTGAATAATATTATTATTGAAGTAATTTCAAGCCACGACCCGACGTTTTGAATGCTTTGCTTGGTGTATTTCTAGTATTGAACCGGTTAATGTTTTTAATTAAAAAAAAAAAACTTTGTTGTATTATTTATACTCTGGTGTGATAAAAATGGATTTTCGTTATTCGATTCAGGTTGTGTCGCTAGCGCATCGTAACTTTATGTGATGGGGGTGACGTACTGCACCTTCCTTTAATACTAACATCATATACTAGCCACATGATGTCATTGTTATAAATAAATTATCTATGTTTATAGAAAACGAAGGGAAATCGTCGAAACACGAGCCAACACAACTGAACCTAACATCCCATACAGTCATCGTTTCCTGCTTTTAACGAGTCGTTATTATTGTTTATACGCCGTTAATTAGAAGAGTTTTCTTAGGATCGACTTTCTTTTGTTAATTAAGCAATAAACAGTTACATTATTTACGAAGAGCTATCCGCAGCAGGCTTTTGCATTTCAAATATAGTTTATTCAATGCTCGAAAATGTTAAGATAACACCACAACGGAAAAGTTGTTTACTTAGAAAACAGTCAACAAATTCTAAGTTAAAAGCCGGCCTGTTGTTAAGTTATAGATAATCTCTCTATAAGTCTAAAAGATCTAATTTAATTAAGTATTATCTAAGTATATGACTAAGAACTTTATGTGTTTGTTCCTTCGGTCGAAATCTAGAACATCTTATGTATCGCAATTGTACCTACTTTTTACGAGTTTTAAACCATTTGATTTAGGTCCATTTGACGGTAAATCTAATCTAAACAAGACGCTATATGGGCATGTCCACCTATTTTGGCTTTGGATGTTCGGAAATCCACAGACTGAAAGCGTAACGCGATTCAACTTGACGGAAATCAGACTGAACCCTAAAGCGCAATTTTAAATTCCACCTTTTTCATATGTGGACGAACGGCTCTTATATACATAGATCGCAAAACGACACGTGATGTGGATGAAGCAGCAAAAGGTAGCGAAACAAATAACACAACTAGAAAACGAGCTCTAGGGCAGATATTAAAATAAGTTGCATCACTAAGCTAATATCGCGTTATACAAACAATTTATTAACAAGTGAATGCAGCTAGCGGACGCCGCGCCCGCGGCTCCTCTGCTGACCGACATCAAAGTGGTCAAAGTAAACACAGACCGACATGTTTGTGTTTCTACGTTATATAATCCGAATTATAGTGTCAAATATGCCTTATCATTTTCATCGCGGGCGATAAATTTGTAACACTTAGTACAAGATAATTCAAACTTAGATACAAAAGACGAACCAAGAAGTTCGAACTGCTATCGACATTTCAATCTTTATTAAGGATATTATAACTTGTACAAATCTGTTAACCTTTAAATGCAGCGCTGAAAATTAATGTGTTTATTCCAATTATGTATGATTTTTTTCCAAACGAGTAGAGATATGATAATTCAAAGACGCTCACATTTCGATATAAAATGATGGGATTACTTGAATTCCTAAAGTTATGTAGACGTTTTGTTTTTGTTTTTATAATATAATAGTTAAAAGTAAACAGAAAAATAATGTACTCATTCTTATTTAAATGCGGTTATAGAATTAGAGAGTATAATCTAGAAAAATATGCCATTTATTTGTGAAAAAACATTCAACTTATAGCACGTTTAAAAAAAATATAAAATTAACGTTCGTTACTTGATACCTAAAAATATATGGACATTCCAACTTCCAAGGTGCAGTGTTGTATCGTGATTGAAGATAGTATGCGATTGTTAGACAACTACAGTGTATATAATAGGATTGAATAAAGTAATGTAGTAGAAAATAAATAAACGAAACTAATATAGCTAATTCAACACAGCTTTAATAGATCCTAACAGCGTATTTTTCACGTTGCATTTTTTCACTGAATCAACGCCCACATACTCCCGGAAAAAGCTTGAGGGAAACCTAAAAATAGAGTGTGTAACATTGGCGAAGTAAAGTGTACATACGTGACACAAGAGCGTTTGAAATAACTCGGAGCTTTATCAGAGGTACAATCGTTTAATGAATAAAAATTACTTTTTTCAATTTTAATTACAATTTTGTAGTTTACCCGAGCACTAAACATTTAAATAAAAACAAGTATGCACGTAGCACTAAAAGTTTACTTCGTGTATCATGACAGCACCTTTGTATGAGAGTGCGATTAGCATTTCGTTGCATTTTTATTTATTTCGGTCAGATTCTATCTATAACAGTAAAACTAATATGTTACCTGGATAAATAGCCAAGAGGTGACGAGCGCCAGACTGCTGTACTGTCCATTGAACCGGTAGTGGTAAGCGTAGAAGGAGAAGTGATACAGATAGAAGAACCTGTTGATAAAAAAAAAAATTAAATATGTAGTAGAAATACTTAACTGCAACACTATTTAAAATTAAGATACATTAACAATTAGATATTTTTTTAATGTTGGGTAAGGAGGTAACCAAACAAGGGAAAGGCCCTTTTGTATCTAAAACTAAGAAAGTACAAAAGTTTTTTATTATTATAACAGTGCAAATAGTTACTATATATTTTTATATAACAATAACAATCTTATACTTTACATAATAAACGATTACGTACTAAATGTAGTGTCGTCTGTAATACGCGAACCAATGTTATAAGAAATAAATCTTGTTACAATATATTGGTTATTTATAACAAAATAAGCCTGTAATTTACACAAGTGAAAATATAAACGCGTCGCTTCGGATGCTTTATAGTTTAAAGAGCACGGGGGTCTAGTTAAAAATAAAATAAACGAATGTATTTCGCATTTGAACAGCTAAAAATGTTTTTAGTTATTATAATTTTAATCTCTCCCTTACTTCACTTATTACTTTCACCTTGCCGGTATAAAAGATATTACGTGTATTGTTCACAAACAAATAATACAAGACAATGTTTAACAAGCATACAATGTTTCAATATTCCAAGTCAACAATATCGCGTCCCGGTTATAAGATTCAATAATATTGTAATGTATGCGGATATTTCAAACTATGACACGAGTGGGTGTTCTATCTAGGCTCCACCCTCTTACAAGAATATGTTCCAGAACTAGTAAATATAGCAGACATTCTAGCAGACTTGTAGCATAATATTTACATTCTTCGGTAGTTGTACGAAGTCTGTGCCTTAATGGAGTCTCGTGTCTTCTGAACTAGGAGACAAACATTCTTTGGGGCTTTGTAAGCGTTTACGCAGTATTATATATCTTTTATTGAGAAGTATTAATATGGAGTAGACATTTCTGTAACTATATCTCTAATAGATTATCAATGTAATTATTATAAATTGTAATTGTAAATTAATTGTAATGTTTAACTAGCTAGCGATTGAGCTGTTTTGACGGAGGTATGCTCAACGGGTCGTATAACAGTGGGTCCAAAATGATTCTAAAAATAAATGTGTAACTTTTCAAAGACATATTACATTTATTTTTGAAATTCTAGACTTTTGAGGGGTGTTAGGACTATCGAAACTCCATTACGAACCACTACCAACAACCATCAATAGACAAAAAAGTAAAGTAAAAATCCGCATTTCAGTTCATTCTGTAGATTGCTGTAAACTCAAACCAGGTCGACAGCTTATCTTATTTTATGGAAGGTGGCTGTGGTAAATCAGCTTCCATGGTTGTCTGTCCTTCTATGTCATAAAATGACAAAACTTGTGGGATTGCCTAATTCACGTCCACGCGCCACGTAGGGTAATATTGATGTGGGGAGTGGGGTAAATCGTACTGAGGTAGTAATTGTAGTAGCCGACCAGAACCACTAAACACTAGTAAAGCAACGGATAGTCGTTTGGCCGGATACCGGAGATTTGGCCTCATCACCAGCCGAATATCTGGTATCCGGAGGGCCTAAAAATGAGTTGTAGCGAAGAAAATTCAAATACATAGTAGTAAAGGTGATTCGCCTCCAATGTACAGAAGGGCAGAGAATGGCGCAATTGCTTGTCATGAAACTATAAATAAAAAATATATCTGTCTATCCTCACCGTGTAGCAGTGTTAATAGCGAAAGACTTTTTTGAGGGGCAGGCGGGACTGGTTTGTGAAAATTGGAGGAATTTTTATTCACCACAATTTGCAGTTAGTTAATGATTAATATTAAAATCTCTTTCTGTTTATTTGGTAACACTTGTTTTATTTGATTAAAAAATAACATAGGATACGCTACGATTAGTTTATCCATTCAACTGCCGCTGATCATAGGTTTTCTTAAGGACTTCAAATGAAGCTTTTCTGTTGTAGTTTTCTTGTATACTAACTAACAATTTTTCAAAGTTAAATACCAAACAGAATCACTATTCTATTTCAGACTGAATAGTGCGCAACTATCCGGTATTCGGCCTCATAGAAAAATAATGGCCGGATACCGCATCTCTACTAAACACACTACCAGTCTGCTACAATGCTTTAGAGAGGCCTGGGTACACGTTTGTACCCGGGGGTTGCACCAGCTGTGAAAAACAGGTTGTGGAGCGTATTACTACTCTCCGCACCATAAACATCCAGACAATGAAACCTTGTTGATGGTTTCAATCGTATGACACTCCGAAGCCAATAGCGCCGTCTCGTATATTTCTCGCCTGTACCATTAGGTTCGTTATCTCCTTATTTCGGTGGATAAATTCCCAATGTACGGCGAGTGAGCGGGGCCGCGGAAAAGGGGAAATGTCACCTCGTTATCTGAAAAGGTTGCAATTTTATTTGAAATCGATATTCAGCGATGCTCGTTTTTCTATCGCCACCACACGTGAACCGCTCGACGTCTTTTCATGGCGAGGATGTATGGAGCCTTTGTAAATATAAGTAGCAATTAATTGAGGATTTTGCATTGAGAAACCTACGCTGAAATGTCGAGAGATTTTATTCTCGTTGATGTCTACGTTTTTTTCATCGTAAAATAACAATTTCATAACAAGAAACAAGGTATTCAGAGAATTATTTCGCAATAAGCTTCTATTAATAGATAATTGGATCTTAAGGCATCGAAGTATTAAAGAAAAGCTTCTTAATAAAACGATTATCTGAACAAAAAGACTGAAGAAATTTTCAAAATTAATACGAGCATAAAAAGCAATTTGTTACAATATAATATAATATTGTAAACAAATTGGTCGTGAATTTCGACACTACCCAATTCGATGGCCAAATGTTCCAGACCAATTTATATTGTATTCGTTAGTAGAATCCCTTTGTCCCTTATATGGGCCATGGACAGACACGATTCTGTGTCTACTGACTACTGATCATTTTTATTGACTACTGATACGGACTACTGATTATTTCCCAACGTTTCGATTGCTTTGCATCAGCCATAAATAATTAATATATTTCGCGTTTTAAACCGTTTAAATAGTTTTTATTTAAATTTAAAATATTTTGAACCAGCTGGATATTGTACCAATAACCCCTGGTATAGACATTGCCAGTATTTAGCAGCACGATCTTGTATAGAGCGTGTAATAAACTTTGAATAGCCTTATAATTAATAACAAACGCTAACAACATGTCGCCCCCCAAATGTACGCCATTGTTTCGTCGTATTGGCATTCTGTAAGTCTCCCGATCATAATATCACGCAGCGGGCTATAATCAACTCAATGCATACGTTTTGATACGACGATGGGAGCGTATTCAAATGTTAACGTGAACACAACACTCTAATTAGCGCGGAATTAAGGTAACGCCGTTCCCGCCCGCTCTGTGAAATAATTCTCTGTCGAGTATCATAAGATGTCTAGGTCTCGCTAACTGGCTGACCCGGAAAGCGTTCTTTTGCTATCTTCATTGTTTTTAGAAAAACATTAACGCAGATTAGGAAATATAAAAATATTATCAAAAATAAATGATACAGTACATACAATACTCATCACTTGGGGATGAAAAAAATAAAACCAATTCCACGACCTACTGGATATACATGTTTGGGAGGTCTCTGCTATTGTGGTACTGTGACAAAGTAGTTATATATAAATATGTTTTGAAGAATCAATGTGACAAACTACAGTTTTATCTCCTAATTATTTATTGCTATATTTTTAAGTTTAACGTCAGGACTATATTACTAACGCTATGGTAGGTTTTAAATACTTGTTTACAACGTTTGAAATTTGAAACGCAACGTAATTAATCGGTATCTAATTAAAAAGATACCTAAAATCGAACCCACTGCCAGATACCACCACTATATCAAAGAGCCCATAAAAGTTAGTCGAGACAATTCTCTGTTAATCAAAACTTAAGACAGGTCGGTGGTAAAAAAGTAAACATTCGTAAATAAATAAAAGGCAACAGGTGTACTTTGTAGTTGTTAAGGACCAATTTCATGGACAAATCGCTTCAGGAATAATTGAGAGGCGTCTTAAGGCGACGTCCAGTAACGGTGGGCGGGCTGGACAGGCGACGGACATCAAACGAAGCATTAAACATACATGTGAAGAAAGCAAACGCTGTTTTCTTAATGTTATTTCGCACATCAATATTTTATCAGCACCTTTTTTGCGACAAATGTAAATAATTCTTTCGGAGCTTATTCAAATTAGTGTCTACAAGATAAAGTTCAAATATAATTAAACTTGCTTAAAATAATTTAGAAGCGGATGTCTCTTAAATATTTTATTATTTGTTATAATAATACTGTTTCTTTTAAGTCTAAAATTGCAGACTACGCTTGGATATGTATAGGTACCCCCGATGAACACATTTTGTATAGGTTTCATTATTTACTGGCAAATTAAAACTGATGATTAATATAATATCTTGTCTCCTTATGTCAAACATGTTTTATGTTTACAAAAGTGAGCCGTATTTCTGAAATCATCACCAATAGGGTGTAATGAATATAAAATTTTAGCAGGTTATGAAATATCAAAGACGGATTGCCTATTTACAATTTTCCTTATTACATGAAAATTATTCAGGAGCGGTGTAGGAGGGGAAACTGAATCTTGTTGAACTAACTCGGTGCGAAATCACTTTCGCCCGCCCTTTGATCTCCAAAGGAATGTTATTCAGTAAAAACATGCAAATTCGATAAGTATAACACAATATTGCGAGCATCCGCTGTCGCGACGCAGCCGTACAATACTTTGAAAACACGGGATGCTTTAAATATTATTTACCTAATACGGGAGCCGTGGTTCGATCGCCGAGACGTTTCCGCGGATCTCCTCTTAGTCCTTGTTACATGCTTTCTGAATATTATAACAGGCTTCTAATGGATTCGGGAAACGACGTTGAAACGATTATGGCTCGATCTGGTTATACGTTCCTTTTAACCGGCGTTATAATACCATGGGTGAGCTTAAAATAGACG